ACACACACACGTACTCCTCGCACACACACGCCCCGCACACGCTCCCGCACACCCCCCGCTGCACGATCTCCGCTGCCCACGCGCACCGCCCACTCCTGCGCCCATCCACGCTCCCGCCCACCGACACACGCGGCCCCCCCGCACACACACACGCACACACGGACAGAGACACACGGACACGCTCACTCTCTCACACTCACTCTCTCACACACACACACTCTCTCGCTCGCTCTCACGCCCCCTCCCCGCGGGACCCCCCCGCCGCGGGCCGGGATTCCACGCGCCGTGACGTCCCGCGGGCCCCGCCCGGGCTCTATAAAGCGGCGGCGCCGCAGCGGAGCCGGAGCCGGCCCGGAGCGAGCGGAGCCGAGCGGAGCCATGGCCGCGGGGCCGCCCGGCAGCCTCGTCCCGCTGCTGCTGCTGCTGCTGCTGGGGCCGGCGCTGGGGCCGGCGCTGGGGCAGAGCCTGGGCCAGACGCGCTTCGTGTGCACCTCGGTGCCCCTGGACGGGGATGTGTGCGCCGCATCGGCGCTGGGCACCGGCTCGGCAGAGGAGCTGAAGGGCACCGTGCTGCAGCTGCGGGAGACGGTGCTGCAGCAGAAGGAGACGATCATGAACCAGAAGGAGACGATCCGCGAGCTCACGGCCAAGCTGGGCCGCTGCGAGAGCCAGAGCGTGCTGGAGCCCGGCGAGGCCAAGGGCAGGAAAGGCTTCGCCAAGAACACCATGGGCGACCTGTCGCGGCCGCCCGCCGCCGAGACCCTCAGCCAGCTGGGGCAGACGCTGCAGTCCCTGAAAACCCGGCTGGAAAACCTGGAGGTACGCGAGGAGACCCGGGGAGCCGGGCATCAGCGGAGCCGGGCATCAGCGGAGCCGGGCAGCCGGCATCGGGACACCCGCGCATCGGGGCGTGGGGACCCGCACAGCCGGGCACCGGGAGCCTCTGCCCGGCCCTAACAGCCTGTTCCTCTGCTCGCCCCCTGTAGCAGTTCAGCAGGATGAACTCCTCCAGCCAGACCAACAACCTGAAGGATATCCTGCAAAATAAGATCGACGACCTGGAGAAGCAGGTGCTGTCGCGGGTGAACAGCCTGGAGGAGGGCAAGCTCAGCCCCCGCAACGAGTCCGAGGAGCGCGGCAAGATCGAGAGCACCCTCACCTCGCTGCACCAGCGCATCAGCGACCTGGAGAAAGGTACCGGGCGCTGCCCACCCACCCCCGCCAGCCGCGGGACCCCCGGGCCGGCTTCCGGAGCTCCCCCCGCCGCCGGGGAGCGGGCGCTGTCGGTGGATGCGGAGCCGCTCCCGCGGGCGGCTCTGCCGAGCTGTCCCATTTCCCACCCGCGGAGCGGTCCCTCGCTTTGCTTTCCCCCTGGCAGGGGGTTGGAACTGGCCGGTCTCTTAAGTTCCCTCCCAACCCACACCGTTATTCGCTCGGGGCAGCCGGTGCCCGCGGGCTCCGCAGCCGGGGATGCTCCGGGCTCTGCCCGCCCCGGGGATTAGGGAGCCGTGCGGCTCCGGAGGGATTTGCTCCTCGCTGCCATCTCAAGGCCCGTTACATAACGGGGTGGGGAGGGGGGAACCCCCAAAGGGGCAGAGAGGGGATCTGGCCGGAGCCCACCGACCCTCTGCTCCCACAGGCCAGAAGGACAACCGGCCCCCGGACAGGTTCCAGCTCACCTTCCCTCTGCGCACCAACTACATGTATGCCAAGGTGAAGAAGAGCCTGCCCGAGATGTACGCCTTCAGCATCTGCATGTGGATCAAATCCAACGCCTCCCCCGGCATGGGAACCCCCTTCTCCTACGCTGTGCCCGGGCAGGCGAACGAGCTGGTGCTCATTGAGTGGGGCAACAACCCCATGGAGATCCTCATCAATGACAAGGTACAGCCCCGGGAGCGTGGAGGGTGCTGGGAGGGGGGAACGGGCTGGGGGGGCAGCGTGGGGGACCCCACCGTGCACCACCCTGACCCACTGCCC